TGGTACAGCTGTACAGTTGGGTTTAGAATTCAGGCTTCAGATTTTTAGCATTAAAAATGCCAGAATTACTAGGTGTCCACTCCCCAGTGCTCCTGTCAACATACGAGGTTAACGTGCCACATACTGTTTGTAATTTAAAAAAAATCTCCTCAAAATAAAAAAAAAAAAAATTTTGATATATTTCTTTTTCCCAGAATCTAATTTTGATGAGAAAATCTCATCAAAATTAGAGACCTAAAATTAGGTTTCTTTATTATTCCTTTATAATAGATATATAGGATTATAGTTTAAGAACTAGGGTTTTATTGATGAGGGTGTGGTGAAGCAGCCATGGACTGTTCCACAGCCACATCCATTTTGTGACCAAGCTACAGATACCCGAATGAGGTGACAACTAGCTCTAGTTCAGTTTCCACAGGAGAGAAAAGGCAAGGCAGTTGCAACAGGCTTGTGGAAGGACTCCACTTCGTTATCTCCACTTCACAGTATAAACTAGAGTCACAATAAAAACTGGATGATGTTTTGGGAAAAAACTATCATGCCTGGATGCTGCTGCCAGTTTCTTCTAAAGGTTTTTTCCCTTCCATGCAAAAACTTCCCCACTCCCAGAGCAGCAGGCACTAGACCTGCCACTGAGAGCCCAGCCCAGCTTGGTGCCCAGCCTGTCATTCTCTTTGCATGGCTACTTTAAAAAAGTGGAAGGCTTACAGATGCTGTAATGCTACAGATGAAGTCATGGAGCAACTTCAGGAAAAAAAAAAAAAAAGACCAAACCAAACCAATCAAAAAAAACCCAAAACAAGAACAAACCCCAAACCAAAACAAGAACAAAACCAAAAAACCACAAACACACAAACCCACAAACAAACCTGCCCCTTGAGCTGATACACCTTCTGCCATGGAACTAAACCCAGCTTTTCTTTTGCCCCTCTGATACACAGTAGCTTAACAAAGGCATTACTACACAGCCAATGTTAGAAAAGTGAGTGCATATGATGCCACTAATACTGGCTACAGCAGGAAAATCAAAATTATCCAAAGCTCTTAAGAAGCTGTCAGGATCATGTCAGCTGTGCTAGAAAACAACAGGTAGCTAAAATGCACACAATTAATCCTCCAGGCAGCATGAAAGAAAAAAGTGTGTACGACTGTCTCCCTCCCTTCATGCCTTCTAACCAAATAATAATATTGTGACAGCAGTTTGATATTTGGACAGGACATCAGTCCATCTGCCAGTGAGCTAATGCTACAGTGCTAGCCAGCCTCCCTAGAAAAAGGGATACGCTGGGGAATGAAGATGTATCAGGAACGTAATGACAAGGCCTCTGAGCAGAACACCTAACTGACAGCCTGGCAGTTTATAAAATGTTTCATTTAAAAGCTGCATTTGAAATAAGCTTTAGGCTTTGAGGTCACCACGAGCTTTGAACTTCACGTCAAATCATATAACAAAAATGATATTGTACTGCTAAACCTAGCAGAGTGACAAGGCAGCCTGCTTCCCTACAGTTAAGTTATAAATCACAGGCCTATCTACCAGTTTATGTTAAAGTACTGCTATGCAAAGATTACTTGACTATTACAAACCAGGAAAACACCTAAAAGCTCACATGCTGCAGCAAGCAATGAACTTTAAAGGCCAGCTGGTAAATTTTACACTTTTCCTAAGAAAAAGTACAGTGATAATTTCAGTTTGCCATCACAGATACGTGTGTATTTAACCAGCCCTGCAAGTATTTTAACTGCGGGAGGATCAGTAAGATTTTGTGGCACTTCTACAGGAATGCAGTAAGTGTGATATTAACAGGAGGGATTTTTTCTGCCAGCCAGTCCCTTGGCTGCATTTTTTTTGTTTGTTTATTACTGCCTTCTTTGCATTTGTGTGTATGTGTATAAAGCATTAGCCAAGCACCATGAAACTAGGAAGTAACATTCTCAACTATCAGTTCATTTGACCTGGCAAAGCAGTCACAAAATTGCCACGGCTGTGCAACAGTCACTCCACAGCTGCTTCACCACATCCCTATCATCAATGAAACTCTACTTTTATTGCCTAAACAACGATCATCATATATACCTACTATAGAATAAGAATGGTTTAAAAATAATTAAAGGGACCTTGAACCTTTTGTAAAAAGTCAGTTTGCAAATCTGGATATTGCAAAAGACTGTGGTTACCCTAGATGACAGAGTACAGGCTTTGTTGCTTTTACAGAAGACAAATGTTTCTTGGGGCTCCCTCAGTGTTAGCATATACATAAGTGACAAATATTCCTGACCAACATGCTTAGAGTAGGGAAGTGTGTGCACACACACACACTCTCTCTCTTACCAAGTAGAACGTCTCACTTTGGAAGGTTACCTGTTGTTCCAAAGCAAATAATGTTCTTTTCTTGTCACACTGCTGTAAAATTGGCTTTTAGCAATTCCTATTTTGGGGCGTGGTTTTTGCCTGTTGTGGACCGGGTGGAAGTCATAAAATAGCAAGCAAGTCAGGTAGAGTTTGTTTATTTAAATATTTATAATAAATGTTTCTAAATTAATACTAATTCTAGATAGTAAATAGTAAATAAAATTGCATCTACACCAGGGGTGACTTCAGGGTCAGAAATGCCTACCCCCTGCAGCATGACCACCTCCACAGGGAATAAAAGATGGGTTGTATTTGTAGGTGACTCCCTTCTGAGGAGAACAGAGGGTCCAATATGCCAGGCAGACCCTCCTCACAGGGAGACCTTATTGTGGCCTTTCAGTACTTAAAGGGGGCCTATAAGAAAGATGGGGACAGTCTTTTTAGCAGGCCTGTTGTGACAGGACAAGGGGGTGATAGTTTTAAATCAAAGAGAGGAGATTTAGACTAGATCTAAGGAAGAAATTTTTTACAATGAGGCTGGTGAGACAATGGCCCAGGTTGCCCAAAGAGGTTATGAATGCCCTATCCCTAGAAATATTGCAGGTCAGGTTGGATGGGGCTCTGAGCAACCTGATCTAATTAAAGATGTCCCTGCTCACTGCAGGGGATGTTGGACAAGATAACCTTTAAAGGTCCTGGCCATACCAAACCATTGTATGATTCTATAATAAATAATAAATATGTACACCAGGGCTTTCTTAAAGGTATTCAGACTGGAGATTCCTTTCCAAATTGAAATTGTCAGCCTTGTAATAAACAGGAGCATGGTGTCTTCTTTCGAGATAAAAAGCTACTCATTTAGGTCACTGAGATGATTTATGCACTATATTTTCCCCTATCAGTTAGTTCTTTGGTGCACTATAACAACAGCAAAGGTACCTGAAGTTGAAGGGGGAAGGCAACCTTTATTTCAAGCAAATAAATCTAGAAGAAATGTAATGGTACAAAGAACATCGTGCTCAAAATGAAACATGGCACCATTCAGCTATTAGTCGACTCTAATAAAAAAGAAAGTTTCCCATATGACCAAACATAAAATTGTAAACATTTCCCCTAAAATGGTATAATTTTTTCTTGTTTGAGTGAACTGTTTGTGTGGTGATATGTTCAGAAGTGCCCATGGTGGCACACATTGCCTAATGGTAAATACAGCTGTAGCAAACATACACAGAGCAATTCTCTGCTCAGATTTTAAGACCACAAAACATGGAAGGACTCCCCCATACACATACCTTCTGCACACCCCAGTTTCTCCCCTTTTGTGTGTTTGTTGTCTCAGTTACTTCTGAAAGGATGAGCCTGAGCCTTATTGGTCTGTGTAGTAAGAACATGAGAAATGAGAAAAAGGCTTTTTATCATTTCCAAGAGCTGAAGTAATACTGATAGCCCGTTACAGGCATTGCTTCTTTGGCCAGTGGTGGTCTTTTGCCAAATACTTGTGCTGCTTGATTTTGTCCAGGCACAGCCCCTGAGATCACAGCTCTCCCCATCAGAGTAGTAACTCTGTTTTGCATACAACCTGCTTGAAATCTCTCTCTGGAGCGTGTTGGACCAGCTCTCAGGTCGAGACTAACATTCACTGAGGGGGGTGAGCACAGAACAGAATGCCTCTACTCAACACGCATCAGAGCATCCTATCTGCCATTTGCACAGTGCAACCCGCCTCTAGCCAGGCTGCCAAAGTCATCGGGGGAAGGAGGTGGCTGAGGCAGTGAAGTGTCCTCAGCACTCTCTGCTTTCAGCCCACAGATGCTGTACAGTCTGCAGGGCTCAGAGGTATGAAGGGAGCAGTGCCCGCAGTGGACGTGCCTGTGTTACACTACAGAGCAGCACGGCAGAGCCAGCTCCCTTGTTAAAGCTCTTGGGTTTGTTCCACTTAGCAGATTTTCTGTTCAAATTAAATACAAAATTTCCTATTGCCATAAGTACTGATGGAAAATGCCTTTGCTTTAACACTGGTATGCTTATGTAGTATGCTGTTAAAGATGGTAGTAGGTGATAGGGATTAGTTTGTTACATATTCTGCCTCTTGGTTTGGTACTCCCTAAACAGTTTGAGAGGCCACACAGCCACTGCAATTTCTGTGTGCTATCCTGCTCTTAATTACCCTTAAAAGTCGTGGCTGCTGAGACTGTGTTCAGCAGCTCTGACAAAGCCAGCCACTTCACAGTAACCCAGCATTGCTCAGGACATGTGTGGGAGCCTGGAATGTGACAGGAGCAGCTGGAGACTATCAGCCTAGTGCTGATACAAAGGGTCACATTTTCATAGCTCTCCTTCAAGTTGGTTTCATTACCCATCAGTAGTAACTGCAATGAGACTGTGCAGACAAGCATCATGAATTCATGTTTTTAAAAAAAGAAAATAACTGGCATTATCTACATAAACATTTATATTCCACCAGCACAAATTTCTATGTATCACTTTAAGTCTGAGCAGAGGAACATAAATATAATGATCAAAGACACTAAGGGTAAACAAAGAAATTAGGGTTTAGTATGGTAGTCTGACTTTTTAACTGTTGTTTATCCCTGTGATTAAAAAGCAGACTGGCTTCCTAGGCTCATGTTTCTCTTTCTTATTACAGTTGGATAGCGTCACTTCACTAATTCAGGCTGCCAAAAATTTAATGAATGCTGTGGTGCAAACAGTGAAGATGTCCTACATTGCATCCACAAAGATTATCAAGATTCAGAGTCCTACTGGCCCACGACATCCTGTTGTAATGTGGAGAATGAAGGCTCCAGAGAAGAAACCCCTCATTAAAAGAGAGAAGCCAGAGGAAATCTATGCGGCTGTCAGAAAAGGCTCCGCAAAGAAAAGAATCCATCCTGTTCAAGTCATGAGTGAATTTAGAGGCAGAGAAATAGTTTAATATTCTGACACTTCTTCTGTTCCTATTTTGAATTTCTGATTTATTTTTTTTTTATCTTTTCTGGCACTTATTTAATAATTATAAATGTTAATGTTTTGCTTTTCTCTAAATCTGTAAGATAACACTTGCTTAAATTATTTGAAAATGTTGTTGGAATAATTAGCAGCACATAGTTGAAAAAAAAAATACCCATTCTTTTGTAGTGACAAAGTCTCCCGTCTTTATGCTGGCATGTTTTCAGCAGAGCACTTTGGGTGGTGTGTTACGGGGCTGCTGTGGGTGGAAAGGAGGATGGAAGTGCCAACCTGCCCAAGCCGCACTGCAGTCCCTGGCCTCAGGCCCAGTGAATTTCACTGAATTTCAGTGAATTCCTTCACCAGGGATCAATGTGGCCAGTACCAAACTGCATCTATTTTATGACATACAGCGTTTTAAACATGGTGTTTTTTGGGACAGATCCTTTACCAGCATCTTTACACGGTGATCCACTCAGGTGGACTGCTTGATGCTAGCTGTGAGTCTGGGCCCTTTTACCTAGGTTGTAAGATCTAAATATCTCCCCTCATCCAAGGCCCAGCCTTGACCACAGAAGCTTGAAAATGTTTTATGAAACACAGAGAGTGCTTTAGCAACATGGATGTAATAATGTAGTAAAAAACCATTGACTGCAACATAGCAGTAACTGTACCTCTTTAAAAGCATTCTGAAACAACATTCATCTGTGTTCTGCTTCCTGCTCTATTCTGTGAGCCCCAGTACATCTGCTGACTCTTAGATGTGGAAGTTGAGATAAATCAGCCATTAACAATAAAAAAAGCTTTTCTCATCAGTGCACAAAAGAAGAAATACTAAATACATCATTATTCTGAGATCAGTGCATGAAATACACACACACATAGCTTGAATCTTAGGAATGACAAGATTTTTGCAAGGTAACTGTAGTGATTTAAGTTACTTTTCATGTGACAATAGAGCCCTAAATGAAGGACTGTGCCAGTAAGCAACGTGCTAAATGGCTGCACTGTATCTCAAAGTCTGCAATGAAATAAGTGCTGTTAGTCTGTGATCACCACTAAGCTTCTGTAAAATAGTTTTAAGAAAATTTTTCTAAATCTGTTTGAACCCAAAATCCACTTGGACTGATTTTTTTTTTAAAGAATCTAACTTGTCTTCCCTGCTATGCTTTTGCTCAACTCCACTTGTTACTCAAGATACCTTTGCTTGGCAATTAAGAAGACCCTTTGGTATGTTTTTGTAGTTGCTAAAGCGAAAGGGCTCCCTCAAATGCCAAAACTTTATGATGCACCATCGAGTGCCATTAGGAATTGGCTCCAGACTGTGGGCTGCTTCTCCATGTCATTTACTATCATGTTTTGCACAGCAGTGCACTTACATGCTCACACTGGCAGCAAAAAATAACCATAAACTGTGTTTTTCCCCTTGGGAGCCAGTCTGTTTCTAAGCTCAGGACAATGGAGCAGTATAATTTCTAGGCTGCAGGTTAAAACTTTTTAAAAATTATTGAAGATTTTACAGATCACTATTCCACCTTCCACAACTTTGCTACCTGTTAAATGAAACAAAAGGAATTATTTGGAAGAAAAATTACCTCTTTTCAACTCAAACTCCCTCCAGCATGTTTGCATCAAGACCTTAATGGCAGGTATTGGTCTTTGCTAGTCATTTTTTGGGCTACAGCATGGGAAGGAGTGAACAGTCGAGCAGAGTAGGCAGAGCTAATACAGAGCAGGTCATATAACCTACTTTCAGTAGGTCTGCTGGCAGACTAAGAGCTGAGCTAAAGAGTCTCTGCAGTATAGAGATGAGGAGAGTGTACGTTGTTGTCAGACCTTAAAGCCAAAATCCCCATCTAATATTTCAGGTTCTGACCCACCCCCTCAGACTACCTGCTCCCCCAGCAAGGTTCAGGTCCAGATGCCAGTAGGTGAGTTGACATAGCCTTGCTTTTGGGGGGTGTCACTCCTCACGTCTCCAGGTTATGCATTTGACAGAAGTCACCTTGACATAAAATGTTTGTAACTAATGTCTTATTATCACATTATTAATAAAAAGCACGTACACCACTGAGGTGTCTTTCAGTGTTGTGGGAATTTTTATTTTTATTTTTTAATGTGTCTTCTTAATGGTCTCCGACACTAGTGAACACTCAGGTCAAAAGCCTGCCAGGTTTACTTACCAGAGTGCCACCCTCACAGCACACGAAGTGTAGTCTGATTTAAATGAGAGTTTTTTCTAGACCTAATATCACTAAAGCACAGTTTATTGCTTAATTTAATGCTCCTTCTTGCAACACCAGTCACTAGGCTCTTATCCTAGCCAGACTCAATAGCCAGTTTGAGCTCAACTTGCAATAGTATTCCTATTACACAGGCATTTGCTAGGCAAAAACAACTAAATGAAGAAGAAAATCAAAAGCCACGTCTGTTTCTTGAGAAGAGCCAGAAGACTGATGAGTTAATTATATCTAGACTTCTTTTTCGTAGCTAAAGTTCAGACCCAAGTGGAAACATAACAAGGTGAAGTTTATTGCCGGCTAAAGAGGCAGAGGGATAAGAAACAAGTCCTGGAGATGCCAAAAGCCCCATGTATTAGCTCATTACCTGCCCTCAGCAGGCCTGTGAAGCAGGGGACCACCACTTCTGAATTCATCCTGCAATCTACTCATTCCTTCCTAGCCCCAGTTTTCAGAGTGTGTTTTTCCACTCCGCTGTTGGTTGCCTCTGTGCTTGCACGACGCCCATCGCGTAGCAGCACGCCACTTGGAAACTACCCTCTCAGCTGCAGCTTTGCAAGGCTTCCTCACCTCAGCAGCTCAGATTATCTCATTAGCTCGCCTTGTCCTCTCCCCATTACCACATTATGGAGCAAAGGACGATGGACAATTGAAGACAATTTCATTAAAAAAAAAACAAAACTCAGTGGAGCACTAAAAAATGAGATTGTATTTTTTCATTGCTGAAGCACATTAGTGTAAGAGGACATGTTCATGACATTTCTATGCATCTCAAAGCTGTTGACTTTTTATTTTGTTAATAAACAACTTGGTTATGTCACTCTGCTCTCACTGCAGATGTTGTTTCCTTTAGTATTTAGCAGTTCTAATTTGTAAGCAGCAGTTTCTGTCACTGCAGATTGTGCTGAGCATAGTTTGCAGTTTGCCCCAATTATTCCGTTATTGCCTTGACTTAGTGAGCCATTCGTGGTAAGTAATGAACATCTTCTCAGCTCTGGAGCCCTGCTCTTGAGGATAGTAAAAACTGATCTGATGTAACTAATGGGCTTTTTTTTTTTTGGAGTGGAGTTTCAGGAACAGACATGGTAACCTTCTGCACTTACACCACCGTGCTTTTTCCCCTCAAGTGAACCTGGTGTCATTTGGGGAGCTCTACAGCTACCTATCTACAGAAGAAGATGACTAAGCAGCCTGACATCATGCAGGTCTGATGTTCCAGATGGTTTTAAAAGGTCTCCAGCTCTTTTTGAAAAGGCATTTTGTGTTGTTTATTTTCTGTGTGTCCACAACAAGCATTGAAGAAAAATGTGTTTATACAGCAAGTTCTGTAATGAGCTTTTTAGAAGGCTGCTTTTTTTTTTTTTTTTTTTTTTTCTTTTTTTTTTTCTTTTTAAGAAAATATTTGTGAGTCTTTACCAGTAGTAGACAGTAAAATTCTTTGTGGTCATACCTGCTATTTTTATCAGCCCTCTTCTGGGCTTCTACTTCCATTCTTGTTCTACAGAGTCTCTGCATCCCCCTGAATTTTGCCTGTAACACTGGGGTTTACACAAAACTGTTAATAAACCACTTCTTCTCTAATAACCCACTAAAACTGCTGAGGTGCTGAGGTGCTGGGAAGAAAAAGTTAACAAAACTAATCATCAGACAGCTTCCAATGGAGTGCAATTTAAGAGCACGGTAGTAGAGTAATAAATAATTAAAGATCATACACATGCTGCTATACACTTTGTTTTTGTTTTCCCTGGGAGATCATCAGCACTGGCTGCCTCTCCCTCTAAGAATGGTTGGCAGGCTTGGGCTTTCACAGAACTACTTCTTAAAGTGAAGAAAATGCACGAGTGCTATTGATGAAAAAGCTAACAGATTTTGCTTGGTACACTGATGCTGGTATTGCTGCAATGAGGTGGATCTCCTTTCAGTTACTAAACTGCAACTCTATGGAGTCTTTCTTGGGATAAAGAGGAACAAAATATACCCAGAGCAGAAATGGCATAAGAGTTATGTAAAAACAAACCAGGAAAATGCTTCAAAGACCCTGTTGTTTACCATCAGCAGGAGAAACTTGCTGCTACAAAGGAGTTGAAAGCTGAGTGGCTATTTTTTATCTCCGGCATACAAGACATAGTTAAGATGAAAGTTTGCAGTGCAAGAGATGGATCTAGCAATTTTACTTTTACAGAGCTTTTTACAGGATAGGAAATATTCATGTCCCACTTCCTGATGGTGAAAATGACTGCATTTAAGCAGGCTGGAGATTACAGTGATGCTTTGTCATGCAGGATGATGCTTCCTCGATTCTCAGTCCTCTTTCAGCCTGACCATTTTTAGAGCCATTTACTTCCCTGCTGTAGTTCTCAATTATTTTTATAGAAGACAGCAAATGATTTAACAGCAGCTGAAAATAGCCATGTAACTCATTACCTGTGGGGCAGATTTTGCCTTTTTGGCACTGCTCTTTCAGAGTGGCAGGGGGATGCAATGTTAAGGGAGCTGCTGCTAACTGCTCCAGCAAGCCTGCTGGTAGGTATTTTATCTGCTTAGCTCCCAGAGCTCCCTTCTGGGATGGAAACACGATAGGAAATTGCTCCCACACTTTCAAAATACAGAACAGAGCACCACCTCTGTTTGTCCAACTAGCCAGCATGGCTGAGGGGATAGGAGAAAGGAAGAAAACCTTGTGGGTTTTTTTTTTTCAGCTTTTCTAGTGGAGAAAGACCATCATTCAAATAAATGATTTCTCCAG